ACTCTTGTTCCACGCTTCTGCTTCCCTGCAAAATCTCACAGAATCTCACAATTAGAGTACTATAAAACAATCATAAAATGACTACCACCCTGTTTATATAATTTGAATTAGATCTGTCACTCTTGTAGTCATTGGAAAAAGGAAAAAAAAATGTAAGTGTATGCAACCCTTTCCTTTTCCAACGTTTACAAAGACCACTTATGAACTCTTCAGCTTATAAACCACCAATGCAAAATCAGCAAACAAAAACTCTGCTCCAGTGTGTTCCCCAGATCCAGTTATTTCTCCATTGGCTGCTGCCATCTTGCTATTTTAACAACATGGAGAAGGTAAAGCAAGGGTGTTTATTATAGCCCGCACTTCTGCTTATCCTGTGACAGCCATGTGTCACTGCCCTCTGCATACAACATTAGCCAGAATTGGTGTAAGTGCCCTTTAAAAAATGGGAATCATTCAGATTTACAGATATACCCCATTTTTCCAGGTGCTGCAGTAACTTGCAATTTGATCAAAGTAGAAAGCAGGTCACTAGCACACCTATACATCTTTACCAAATAACCCGTTTATTGACGTCCATTCATCATGTCAAAAAGGAGACCTTGCAGGGTCCATTCTTTAGACAAAAGTGCAGACCATTATATGTTTGTGTATAGACTACATTTATTTGTCACTTTTGCCTGATGAAGGGATCCTACGAGGTCTGGAAACATTGCCTTTTCACCAAGCTGAATGAACATCAATGAAGGTGTTATTGGATGAAAATGTAGGTGTACTGGTGATATACTTTATATTTTAAGAAATGGGAGATGCACCACTCGGGATTTGACTGTTAGCTTGTCAGTTAGGGGAGCAGTGTGGTGAGTGTATAAATAATCGAGTTGAGTAGGAGTGCTGTGGTAGAAGGGGGGTGATGTGGTGACAGCTGTCAACTTGCTGGAAAGAAGGCAAGCGCTTTCATGATGTGACATTTGTTTCCCCGTCTTGGGGGAACACAGTGCTACACCATGTTCCCCCAGGAAGAAGAGTTACACTCCCTCTTGGAGATGCTTTTCATTTAAACAGGACTCAGAGTAGAGAAGTGTTGTAAGAGGAATCTTGATGAGCACCAGAGCAGAAAGATGTAGGATATTCTTAATGAGAAAGAGCCAAAGTGAAGCTATCCGAGTGTGATAATGTTATTTTTAGTTTTAGTTTTCCTTAGTAAAGATTTTACTTTTCTATCTTCACCAGTCCTATTTAGACACTCTGTTGTTACCGTAAGGAGTTTGGTCTCCCTGATTGGATTTAAAAGTGTGTAACTACTAGAATGTGAAACTTGAATAAGAGGTCTTCAATTGGAATTTGAGAAACATGGCAGAAGCTGATTCCTGTGTCTGCTGTGAGGAACTTGAGGTGCTACCTCTCTCATTCTCTGTGTTGCAACCTTGACTTGGGAAAGAGTTTTTTATGTCGTAAGTTGAGACTTTGGAACTAGCTAGGAAAATTCTCTCTGTGCCATGAGCTTGACTTGGAAATTAAGAAGTATCCCCTGTGCCTGTGCAGACAGGAAGCCATGAGTTCTTTGTAAGGCCTCCGATCCCTTAGAACTTTGCTGCAGAGGAAGTCATGCTTGATTGTGTATATGACAAAGCTGCAGAGTTCCCCTTTATAGGCTCAGTAGATGACCCTTGGAGTTGAAATTCCCATTAATCAATAAAAGTGCTGTTTAGTCTGCTAAAAGTGTGTAAACCTTGAATCTCTTCTTCAGTATGTTTGCCGTCATGCCTCTCTGTATACAATTTTCTCCAGGTAAAGTTTTTTACCTGCAGATTCTCCCAGCAACAGCACTTGTAGGCTGAAAACACTAAACCACTGCCTATCAATTAGCAGTAATGTTGCCATTCTGTTTTGTGTGTTCCTTCCATTGCTTGTTGGGCTTTCTATCAGTTCTATCATATAGACAACCAAGAGGTCACCTGAAGAAGCATACGCTGCAGGCAACATAACTGGAGGGCTGTGGCTTAGTGTTGTCAGCCTGCAACAGGAAGTGAGACATGATAACAAACACACTAAAAAATTATGTAGGGTTTACATACATTTTAGGCTAGCCATAAATGCCCTGAATTCTGTCCGCTTTCTGCTAATTCGGCCAAACAGTGACTGCACCCTACGGCTGTTTAGGCATTCAGACAGCCACTGCACCTGTGGCAGTGCAGGTTCCTCTAACGAGAGAATATATTGATTTTCTCTTGTTCAATCAGAGAAGTCTATGTGTGTATGGCTAGCCTTAGGCTGCATGGGGAAAGGAGTCAAGGAGAAGTGTGTTTCAAACAGCTGATAGAGCAGCTTAAAGGAGAACTATGAGGTGAGTGCTTTTCACTCACCTCATAGTTCTAGTTGACCTGTGACAATGAGACTGTCACAGGTCGGCTCAGTAGATCGGGAGGTGAGCGAACACATACCGGCGTTCGCTCACCTCTTGATCCTGTCACGGCTCTCTGCCGTGACAGGGGAGGGGCTGGATTCCCCCCTCCACGGCTCCGGTCCACCAGCGCGGGTACAGCTGGCTCTGCCTCTAGATAGGCAGAGCCAGCTGTCAGTCATGCAGCTGGGCGGATCCCGGCATAATTGTCGGGATCCGCTTCAGCTGCGGCGTCTCGCGGTATACTGCGGCGTCTCAGTATACCGTGAGCTATAGCTCGCGGTATACTGAGCCTAGGGTGACGGGAGGACGCTAGTTTGTGTCCTCCCGTTACCCTAAGGAGAACTATGGGGAAAAGCCCTAACCCCATAGTTCTCCTTTAACATGGTACCACTTTGTTTACATGTCCAGGGAATTGAAATATATCACTTTATATAGATTTTCTTCTTCTTTTGATATATATACAGTATAAAGTAACCATAAATGCCTTTAGAAGAAGGTAAAGGTTTATGATGTCCCTTTAATGCAGGTTGTTGGACAAAACTCAGTGACTGGGGAGAATAGGCTGTTCTTGATCAGACTTGGAGTGCAGATGATGTAGCAATAATGTTGATTAACACCAGGTAGGTCTATTTATAAAGCTGTTGCTGTGCACTTTCTCAGCACATTAGAAATCCATTACACACCCACCCTTAGCAAATTTCCTTGTGCATCAGGCTCATTATGGTAATTAAGGCAGTGGTTGCTGGGCTGTGTGTTTTCTTGCATGATCAGATCAGAATGTGGATGAGATCCCAGCAGGTTTTAATGGCATGTTAAAGTACGCCAAGTTGCGTCAAACGCTGCTTCATGCAAAGTCCAGACCTTCTGTTTAATGCACCCTTCTACACCTTGTGTCAACGTTAGAGCCTAGATATACTTCACATAAATCAACTTGTAGCTCCAATATACATCTAACTTAAAGTTGAACTCCAGAAACATATAATGTCTTAATATTTCCTTCAAAATATTCATTAAATGCAAGCAGCTGAATTGGATTTGGTAGCAGCCTCTTGCAATTTCTGTACATCAGGGCTTAGACTGGAAGAAGGAAAAGTGGTACAAGGAGCAAATCAGTTGTGCTGCCGTGCAAGGAGCATGCTGACTGAAGAAGAGAGCAGAATGACAGAGGGATAAGCTCATCAGTGTGCTGCTTTTCCTTTTACTGTCTAGTCAGAGGGCAGGGAGGAAAGCTGTAAGTGTTACTAAACTGCAACAGAGAGAAAATTAGGCATCTGTCCTGCCAAACAGGGTTGTGCTGTGTTGCAGAGCTGTGCAAATCTCAGAACTAAATGGAGTGAAAATACAAGTGCTATGGCAGGTAAAATGTATATGTATTTCATATTTGTATTTAGCTGTGAACACCAGATGTGTAGAAGAAGAAGAATAAAGTGGGTGTGCAGAGATTTGCTATAATGAATTTTCAGGGAAGTGGGATAATTAACATGTGAATTAAATTACATTATTTGCCATGGCTACAACACCTACAACATGTAGCAGAAATGCCTTTAATTTGCTCTTTAAAACCCTAACCTTTTGTTAAGCTCTGCTTTTTTTTTCCCCGACCACCTTTAAAAAAGTGAAAGTAACACTGAGATTACTTAATTATTACAGGACATCATGACTTTAGATATCACCTTTAAAAGGTCTGAAAACTAAATAAAAGTGCAAGTAAAGCCAAACAATTTTTATGTGTTAGGTGGAGTAGGAAAGGGTTAAAATTCTGTCAGTTTATGTTTTGCTGTCTGTGTCCTGTTTTGGAGGCTTCTCTTTACTTCTATTTCCGGAGACATAACAGGAAGTTAGAGTATATCCAGATAAATTAGATGTCACCAGAACAGGTGTAAGGTTTACCCTCCCCTCTTGATCTGGTGACAACTCTAAAATTTTAGATATCCCTTTTGCTTTCTTTCTTGATGATAATTGTTACCACCGCAAAAAGAACAAGTGAATCTACCTAGGGGTAGATAGACAGTGAAAAGAACTTGATTGTTATGCAAAATGTAAAAAAAAGTTTTGGTTACACATACACTTTAAGATTTATTTATTTGAAGGATCAGTCCTCTCATAATCCCACTCACTCGTGAAGATACTTCAGTTAACCCTTGCATCAGGGCCCTGTAATCTAACTCCTGGCTGCTATAGATATATACACTGAGTGGCCAGATTATTATGACCATTCCCATCAGTACTTCGCTGGGCCACCTTTTGCCTTCAATACTGCGGAGATTCTTCTTGGCATTGACTCCACGAGATGTTGAAAGGTGATGCCCATGTGGCTCCAAATGCTATAGTATGAAGTGCACACCTACATTTCCAGAATACTATGTTATTTTTACTGGATGCCACTGCTCCAGAATACTATGTTATTTTTACTGGATGCCACTGCTCTATCTTGACTAAGACCTCTTCCAAAAACTCAGACTCGTTTCTTCGTTCCAGAGGGTTCTTGCATGCCTCCTCCTCTTTCAGAGCTCAACACATTTTTTAAAAATGCTTAAAAACACTTTTAGTTTTTAGATTTTCCTTTTAAAAACTCCTTTTTTTTCTTCTTATTTAGGTTGCCTGTTTGAAGATGACCTCTGTAAGCCATTTGAGATGTGTTTGAATGGTAAGTCCAAGTTAATGTTATCAATATGTATTTCTGTGTAAGAGTATAGTAAGTATTCAAGTAATGCATCTCTAAGATTATTGGAAGACAAAATTTTTGTCCTATTTAGTATAGTTAAGAGAAAACATACTTTACGAATATATAATTGAAGCATGGTGAGTATTTCCAATGTGGAGTCGTGGGCTGTATGACCCACTATTTTCTCATATCCAGATGTTAAATCTTTGCTCTGTAATTACAGGATTTGTAGAGTTTCAAGGTTCCTGCTGCTTTCTCTATATTAGAAAGTAAACGCTAACATATAGAACGAGAACCCCTCCGTGTGACCTCGGTTGCAAGGATCTGAAATGCGTAATTAATATAGAATGTTGGTTCAAACTCTGGAATCTGCACTATACAGATATTCCAACTTGCTGTGGACTAGCCCTGTAAATGATGGCTGGATCTACCTGCCTTCTTCTGTCTTCACTGTTAGCCCATTACTGTGATAGACAGCCTCACTTACCAGTAGTGAAGCTTAGAATTTAGAGCTAATGGCGGAACTGATGCCAAAGTCAGGTGGTTGAATATCAAAGCACTCCAGTTTTCAGAGCACTCTATAGAACAGTAATTGACACATGCAGGCCCATTGAAGTGCCTCTTCTAAATAGCAACTGTCAATGTTATAGGTGTACAAAAGCCATTGGTTAGCTTCAAGGGACAGTGTGCCAAAAACATACAAAAACATTAATTTATTCATTTATTTTCTTATTGGCTGAATGCTGTCAAATGTGCTAAATCTCTTGGTACAGGATCCCTTACATTCTGTGCAATATAAAAGTAACCTTATTCATTTAACGTTAGATGAATGACTCCTTTTCACAATTACTCTTGTAATATGTTCGTATAAAATGCCATCTGTAATCCATTATGTTTTGTTGGCATCCAGCGAAGCCAGAACACGAATGCTGCCTCCCCTGTCCCCTTTATAATATATTTTCTTGGAACAGATGAGAACAAATGTATAATTTTTGCAAAATAAGCACGCAGTGGCAAAATATATTGTCCAAAACCTTTTTTTTTCCCTGGGCTTTTTTTTTTTAAGGCTTTAAAACGTTTAGCAGAACAATGTGTTGTTACAGCACTACATCCAATTAAATGACCAGTGCACCGATCAGGTTTAATGAGAACAGAACTTCTCTCATTTTCTCGTTATATTATCACATGTAGATTTCTTACGGCGTTAATATTTTTGGGATGTGAGATTTGCTTCATGCAGAACCTAATTTGTATTCCGTATGTTTCATTTGTCAAAGTATTACAACTGTCAGCAAGTCCTAAACTGGAATATTGGATTACTTTGGTGTATTACAAGTTTTATTTGGATTTATTGCAGTGATATGTACTGTAAGTGCTTTGTTTTTAATATTTCCCTGCTAAGTATGAAGCATGGTCTAAGGTTATAAAGTATACCAGTGGTTAAGAGTACATTGTCATAACTGTTTCTCTTAAAGCCCAATGGACTTTCTGTTCAAATTAGCTAAATACATCCCTGATGCATCAAAAGAAAAGGTGTGCACAATTTGTTTTCTTTAAAAATCAGCCACAAAAAAGCATGTCCCCTGCCAGTACACTGCAGACTAGGACCCTTGCTCTCTTTAGTAAAGCAGTGATCTGTTTGTACGCCCACTGCTGCAGCCATGCTATACAGCCACAGTACGTGCAGTAGGTATTTGACTGGCTGACAAAGCCTTCCTCTTCTTCCTTCTCTAGGGTGCAGAGCAGCTCTTACTGCTCCTCCTCCTCTTCTGCTAATCTCACCATAGCCCGCAAAGTGGCAATAAGGAGTTGGCAGAATTATTTCATCACATCTGACTTGCTGTAGTAAGATGATTTAGTTCATGTGCAAGCATTCCTCCTTTCTGGTATTGAGATTAGGAAGATAGCACCATGACTGTAGAGGGAAAGGACATCAGGCATTAGGCAGCAAGAGGCAGTATTGTTCCAGCAGCAAGAGGTTACTGCAAAGTGGGCTCCAGTGATGAGGAGGGGGTGGATTATTAGGTGGCAGACTGTCTGTGGGTGCCTTCAGTTGGAGAGAAAGAAATTCCTGAGGGAAAGCCCAAACAGCAGTGAAGGAGGATTTTGTGCAGGGACAAGGGCAGCTTGCAGAGCACTGGAGTGAGCAGCCATCCTAATCTATCTTGAGACACTGCTCAACAGGTACCAGCCACCGCTGTCTCCAGGGCCAGACCACAGAATGTGGGCCTGTTTTAATTGTATCTGCTGCCAACCGCACCATTGTGGTCTGCAACTTCTGCCTGCAGCTTATCAGTCTTGGTAAAAGTGCCATCCATTTGGGTGCCACATGCATGAGTAAAGACATAACATTGCACAACAGAGCTTAGTATGAGCAGCACCTCAGTGAGATAAGTTGATAGAAAAGGGCCCACGCTCCTCCTTGTTATTCACTTTCTGCATCCTGCCCTTCACAACATTCCTCTGCTACATCCGCTGCAACATCTTTGGCTTCTATTGACTGGGAGGGAAGTCTCACAAGGGGTTTCAGAGGGTTAGGATACACTACAACAAATAGGTAAGAGTGTCAAAGGACCAAACTGAGAAATGTTACCTGAAGGGTTGAACTTCTGAAGTGTTCTTTAACACCTACCCTATAGTCTTCAGCAGGATCCTTCCCAAGGCATGTGGCTCTTTCTCAACCCCATGCCCATGCCTAGCGTCTTTATGCCAGCTTGACAAAACTTCTAGCTCCTATTCCAGCATTTGAAATAATTCCCCTTCTATGAATCTATGACCTGTGCTAGGGCAGTCTTCTGACTGGTGGCAAGGATGCAGGATGGGGCAGGATTAACACCACATACAGCTACACCTTAATGGCATCTCCCAAGCATGCAATTTAAAGGATTGGTGTTTTTTCCATGTCGCCCTCGAAGTCGCATTGAAATGGCCCTCTCTCCACTGCACAGCATATTTGTTTTTAAATTTTGCTTTGTTAAATGTCCCCCATGACAGTGTCCAGCACTCAATGCCGTGTTTTGACAATAGCTTGCCTAGCAGCCCAAGAAAATGGGCAGAATTCGTCCCTCTTTGACTTCAGTGGGACACGGCGCCGTTGAGGTTCAGGGAACTTCGATCCAGATCTGCTTATCCTTTGGTAAATCAAATCTAGGCAGATTCGCTATTTGCCATACTAAGCCTTACTACAGCCATTTTTTTATTTTTTATTTTGGATAGCCTGGTCAGGTTTTATTTATGTCTCTGATCTCATTGGGGAAATATTCCTTTATTTCCTATCCCTGTGGCTCCAGTACAAAATGCATTTTTTGGTCCATGTTGGAGAGCTTTTTCATTGCTTCCTTTCCTGAAATGAAGTGGGGGGAAACCTCCCTAATACAGACACATTTGCCAATAAAAACCTGAACAAAAGTATAACCCTTCCCTGCAACAAAATAAAACATACTAGTTGAAGTTGAGGATTTCTTTATGGAGTGCCCTGGATTGTTGGAGCTCCAGAAATGTTCTTGAAATAAGCTGAAAATGTCTGTGGGCATCTCAAGGTGTTTGCTGTACAGGAGCCAGTTACGATCAAAGTTACAATCAACTTTAAATTTGCTAAAACTATCTAATATTTTATATCAGTTTTTTTCTATTTGAAACCTACAAGTGTAAATTTTACATGTTGAAAAATCTTTGTGTGTTATAAGGAGCAGTTTTGATGATTACAGCTGTCTTTATCGCTTGAGAAATTAACCCGTTGATGGTCCAATCACAAACACTGCCCAGACTGGTTGTATTGCTTCCAAATATGGGACCAAGGCTTAATTCAAATGCAATTTTGAGTACTGTTTTTGTTAATTTGCTGCCACCGCCCATGATTTAATTAATTTTTATTCATGCTGTAGTAGAATATTAATTTTGTTGAATGACAAGCCAACTTAATGCCAATATGTGTGAAGGGTAGGACAAAAGACAGAACCGTCAAGCATCCTCTCTCTCTTTTTCTATATATACTGTATGTATAGTGTTAAGTGACTGTCTTTATAAAAAAAATAGCTATAAACAGTACAAAACCTTTAGGATATAGGCACTCATCAATCAGTACTTAGTCTTACAATAATTGCCTTTACAGCAGCCACATCTTGAGCAGAAAAACCTGTTCTTTGCCAGCATACTGCAAAGAAGCACCCTTCCTCTCTGCATTGAATTAATGGTTTCTCTGTAGAGTAGATGTCCGACAACTCCCCACCCCCCTCCGTAAGTCAGACCCTTTTACTCTGCAATCAACAAAACCCATGTTCCCTGATGATTGGCGAGCTCTAGTTCTGACTCAGCAGGAGGCATGTCAGACCTCTGCAGATTGACCACTGCTTCAACACAAAGAGAACAGGTAATTCTCTACAGCATGCTGGCAGGTAACAGGCTTTTCTTCTAAGGCTGTGGCTGCATTTGGAACAGGCATAAAAACAGAATTTAATTGAGTGATGCATTCATTAGAAAAAAAAAGCATTCTGAGGGGAATTTATCAAACTGGAGCAGACAAAATCTGGAGCAGTTGCCTAGGGCAACCAATCAGCGTCTCTCTTCAGTTTGTTCAGTTAAGATTTAAAAATGACAGAGAGAAGATAATTGGACAACTGCTCCAGATTCTGTCTACTCCAGTTTTAATAAATTTAACCTTTGTGTGTTTTTGTAAAAAAGCTACCATATCTACTTAAGTCCATCTCCATCATCAGCTTTTTGTGATCCCTTGCACTGTAGGAACCAGAAAGAGAGAGTGAGGGGCAGCACCCAGCCTATCATGCGTTTCTGCATTACACATTGTTATCAGTCTTCCAATCTAAACATCTATTACAGAAACAGAGAACAGAAGGATGACCTCATCACTGTGCTGCTTTCCTGCATGGTCCAATCGGCAGGCTGGTGACCTCACATTCGAGTAAACTCTTCGAGATTAGCACAGCTGCAATATGTCCTATATAATATTAGCCGTTCACAAACTT